GAACTAATAGAAAAAATACATGATTTATTCACGCTCCACTATTACACCAAACGGACTTATAAAGACTGAAACTCTCTTTGGAGGATCTAACACAGAAAAAAAAAACATCAATGTCATGAAGTATCACAATAAATTTGACATCATAGACTATGTTTGTAGGATTTAATGTCACAGTTACTGAACCATTATTAACTCACACATGACGTTTAAAGTCACAGCATCAGAGTCTTTCGCTCCATGTCCATTGATGGATCTGCACTTGTATTCTCCACTGTGATCAGAGCTGATCTTTGAGATGCTGTATGTCTGTCCATAATTCAGATATGTTCCTCCTTTAAACCATCTGATTTGTGCAGGAGGGTATGAACCACCGCAGCAGCTCAGAGTCACTGAATCCCCCTCCACTATTTCTCCAGATGGACTGATGAAGATCACTGGTTTCACTGGAGGATCTACAGGATAAATATTTTAAATATTATTTTTAATCACCAGTTCATCATTGAAGGCCTCAAAATGTAAAGGTAAACTTCATGAGATCAAGATCTTCCAGACCAGAGTAAGTCAATAATTTCAACTGAAAGAGTCATTGCCACAAAGTACAAGGAAAGCCCAAATATTTTTACCAGTGTCGTTTATATCACTGGAGACTTCAAAGAAAAAGGTACACAAACTAAATAAAATATACACAGAACTTACATCTGACATTGGGCAGCACATTGGGAGGTATGGGATGGTGTATGTGTGGGTATCGACAAGTATAACGGGCAGATTGGGAATGTTGACCAACAAATGTAGGAATGGCTGTAAACATCCCAACAACAGTGGCCATAAACACCTGAAACCATAAAGGGATAGTTCACGCAAAATATATATATTTTTCATAAATATTATCCCCTCATGCTCATCATATGCATATTGTGCCAAACACTTACTGATTGACTGATGATATTTTATTGTCCCTTTTAAGGGAAATTTGTTTTGGGCAATACATATGAAGCTGCATAACAAGATAACCACAACAGTAACAATCACACAGTCATGTTCTTTACACTAGAATTCAACAGTCTTGTAGCTGAAGGAACAATGGAGTTCTTATAGCATATTTATCTAAATCTGGGAGTGAGGAAACATTTACTAGATGGAAGTGTTTCAAATTGTGGATAGAGCACATGAGAAGGGTCCAGATTCATTATTAAACTTTAGCTCTGACTAAAGTTTACATTATACTGTATTATTGATTAACACACACACACACACACACACAGTTTGTCAGTGAGGATTCAACAGGGAGTCCAATGATTGGCAGACCCCCAGCTAAAGAAAGCAACAAAGAACAGGTTTATTTAATGGGATCATATGATGTTGCTAAAAAGAACATTATGTTGTGTATTTGGTGTAATGAAATGTGTTTATGCGGTTTAAGGTTCAAAAAACACATTATTTTCCACACACTGTACATTATTGTTTCTACTTTATGCCCCGCCTTTTGAAACGCATCGATTCTTACAAAGCTCATCGGTATGAAAAGTGACGTGTGCTCTGATTGGCCAGCTATCCAGTGCGTTGTGATTGGCCAAATACCTCAAGCGTGTGACAGAAATGTTACGCCCCTACCATACTGTGATGCCCTGTCCCATGTCTGCATTTGTGATCGGAGAAAGAGAAACGACAAAGCGCTACTCTACACTGCTCAAAAACTCGCATTTGAATCATCAGTGGCAAATTCTTTAAATATGAAAAACGTACTTACAGTCTGTGAGTCAGAACAGCCGGCATTGTAGTCTACTCTACCAGGATCAGGAAACAGTCCTCCATAAAATGTGCTGCACACATCTGAATATTTGGGTTGAACTGTTCTGGAACAGTGTTGTAAATACAACTTAACCACTGATTTCTAGTCGTGTCCTCTTTTGGAAGACCAAACAAAGTAGTTTAGCTTTCACAACGAAACACAGCGTCACACACGCCGGGCTAAAGTGAGCCAGATGGACTGATGGACACTGAGATGCTCTTTGGAGGATCTAACATAGAAAAAGCATTGATGTCATTACGTACCACAACAAATTTGACATCATAGACTATGTTTGGAGGATTTAATGTCAAAGTTACTGAACCATTATTAACTCACACATGACGTTTAAAGTCACAGCAGCAGAGTATTTCTCTCCATGTTCATTTCTGGATCTGCACTTGTATTCTCCACTGTAATCAGAGCTGATCTTTGAGATGCTGTATGTCTGTCCATAATTCAGATAGGTTCCTCCTTTAAACCAGCTGATTTCTGCAGGAGGGTACGAATTACTGCTGCAGCTCAGAGTCACTGAATCCCCCTCCACTATTTCACCAGATGGACTGATG